TGGATCTAAGCAAATGAAGAAAGAGCGTGTTTGCCACTTTCATAAAGTCGGTGTCTTTGATGAAACAAGAGACAAATTTCTCTTCAAACTTTACAATAGGTGGGCCCACCTGCAAGGGTCTAGAATCTGGAAATAAATTCAGAAGCTCAAAGTTCACCCAGTCCCTTGCATTATTTTTTCCTGCCAAGAGATCCCACCCCTGAGCTTATTTGTCCCCAGCCACTACCAGAAAGCAGCTCAGCCCCAGGGAACCCACCATTCAGATTCCTTGGAGAGCCTCTGGATGCAGACCAATCCTAATTTGCAGTCACACATCTCACAGAAACCCAGGTTTTCTTCCTTTTCCCCCTTCTGTATCACATTTCAGTTGCTAAACTAGACCTTAAAACCATCTACCTAGTTCCAAAGAAGCAGCACGAATTGAGCTTGGTAATTTGTCAGATTTGGGAGATCATATGTGAAATATCAATTGACTTTGATACAGATATCCTAACAGTAACATCTTTGTACTTCCCCCCCCCCAAGACAGGATAGTGTTAACCGTCATTCAAAAATATACCTGCCAAATTCTTAGCAGCATGAGCAAGTGTCACTGGGTCAGGATTGCTATAGTAAGCACTAACTCATCTGGAGATGCTGTTGCTTCTTTGCTCATCCACATGTGTCCCTTGCTCTTATTAAGGCAAAAACAGAGGTCGAAACACCAACTATAACTATTTACTGTACCCATTTCTGAGTTAGAAGCTAAGTCCTCAGGGATGCCTGCAGAGGTATGAAGAGCAGTCTTGATGGCCTCTCGACTCTTTCTCTACCATCAAGTCTGTCTCACCCACAGATTCCTACATTCTCAGAGATCCTGTAAACCTGCTGCTGATTTAGAGAGAGAGAGAGAGAGAGAGAGAGAGAGAGAGAGAGAGAATAATGGTAAGAGTGCCCCTGTCCTTTGTGAAGGAATAAGGGATTAGACATGCATAGGGCAAGGAGGAGCTCTGGAGAATGTGGGGGACACAACAACTATGATTTTAATTTTGGTACTTAAGACTATGTGGTAAAGGCCCAACTAAAATTCTTGGATAATATGAAGCAATACACCAGGTAATGGGGAAATGTCATCAGATGTATGAAAAAAAGCTGGGGGCAGATTCTAAGGAAACATTCTTCCACAGTGTTAGGAAAACTGCCCATGGCCATGTCTGTAAAGGGTCTGAAAACAAAAGGCAAACATTTTACTTCAGAAGCCACCAAATGAATGGTAATTCGATATTAAACAAGAAGTTTTAAAATAAGATTCTGTGGCTAAAATGGAATCCCTGTAGGTGGCATGAAGACAGTCGCTAGTTACCCTTGGTTTTCTCCTTCAAAAGTCTCAAAATGTCTACAGCAATCCTGCAGTATCTATTTTCCAGATTTCATGATTTCCCGAAGCTCTTCCCAGAGTATCTGATTTTTGGTCTTATGAATAGGACAAAAATTATCAAGATAGCTTTGCATATGCTATAACAGCATTGTAACACAGTTGTGTGCCATTAATTACCACATCATCCCTCTTCTTCTGATGTTCTGTTCATTTTGGAAACTCTTGCCTGTGTGTGTATAATTGATTTGCTATGACATATGTTTATTTTTTAACTTTCAGCTGAGGCTTTGCTCAGTAATACAAGTCTCTGATTCCACGGTTTCATTGAAGGAAATCAAATTCAACTTCTGTCATATCTTTTCAGGAACTAACATCCTGTTAGAGTTTAGCTTCTTCCTGTTATAGCTATAATACAGAATAGGCATCAGAATCTCCCCTCCCTCCCTCCCTTCCTTCCTCCCTCCTTCCCTTGCCTTTTCTATGTAAGTGTGCCCAGAAGCTACCTTTCTATAGACTCATGCTTCCTAGGCACTAAACTACATCTTTGGCATCCAAACTCCTCAGGATAAATAAGTATGAACACACTGCCACCTCTCTCACCACCACTTCTCTCTCTCTCTCTCTCTCTCTCTCTCTCTCTCTCTTTCTCTCTCTCTCTCTCGGTCTTTTTTTTAATAAGCAGAATAAACTTTGGCATTTGCGTAGCCCTTTGGAGCATTAAAGGCCTTCTGAATTGTTCTGAAAACTAAATTGTGATTTATCTAAAGATAGGAAAATAAACAATTATTCCTTCCCTGGTAATTCTGAGTAGCAAAGTTGTTTGTATACTAAGTCCTCACTTCATTCAAAGAAATGAAGTCCTACTGCATTCCTTTCTCCCTGTCACTAAGACCAGGGTATATCTCTGATGTGGAATATTAGTTTAAGATGTGTCACATTCATTTATGCTGTGGAATATTTATTCAATGATGCAAAGATGTGTTACATTCTTTTATGTTGCATTTGTCTAAACTCTGTAAAGCTGTGTTACTTTGCCTACCTAAAACACCTGATTGGTCTAATAAAGAGCTAAATGGCCAATAGCTAGGCAAGAGATAGAAATAGGTGGGGCTACCAGAGAGGATAAATAGAAGGAGAAATTTAGACTCCACAGAAGAACGAGGATTGAGAAAAGGAAAAGGAAAAGGAAAAGGAGAGGAGGATGCCAGGGGACAGCCACACAGCAGCTAAGGAGTAAGAAGGAAAGAAAGATATATTAGAGAAAGGTAAAAAGCCCAGAGGATAATTTAAGCTAAAAAAAAAAAAAAGCAGGCTAGAACAAGCCAAGCTAAGGCCAGGCATTCATAAGTAAAAATAAGTCTCCGTGTATTTATTTGGGAGCTGGATGGTGGTCCCCCAAAGAATTAAAAAAAAAAAAAACTACATATCTCTCTACCCCAGAGTTCATGTTTAACATACAGAGTACACTTTGCAAATGTCATGTCCTGCATGTTCTGATTTGGATCATGGGAGGAGAAAACAAGTTAAAAGTAATAATGTCAATATTTAAGTCAAGCTAAAACAGGTAATGGGACATAATACAACTGTCTTTCCAAACTAAGACAGTTTGTGTTGATCAGTGTATCAAAACACACATGCATACCCTAATATGTATGCTGTGGTCGGTTAGTGTGCTTGTTTGGGATGTTACCAGTATGACAAAAGTGTCATAAGAAAATTTGCTGTGTGCCTTTGCTAAACAGCTGTCCAGTGCACATTGTTTCACCAGAACCATCAGACTAAGGGCTCCTGCTACAGTACAGTATGACTCACATAGCTTCAGAACCCAGACATACCACCATACACTTCTGTACCTGTGCAAGCCACGTAACTGTTCACAAATGAAAAGAATACTTTTCTACCTTGCTTAGCAGGTTCAATAGGTCATTTCAGTGCTAGCTTCCTTCTTGTCTCGCTCCTCCATCCTTTCTGTATTCTAGAAATAGGTAACTATACTGCCAGGTAACTATAATCTATATTTTCCATATACAGTATATTTCCTAGAATGTATCAAAGCAAAGTCATAGGCTAAGAGACACAAGTAACTCCAACATGCCTGGCATAATGGCTGAATGTAAAGCTAGCTCTCAATTCAAATTTGCCCGGTGGAAAGTTGGTCCAGATTCCCATTATTGGAAAGTATGACAAAACACATCCTCATCCTTTTATGTAAAACAAGTATTGGATGAAGGCTGCTAGAACAACCTATCCTGACCTCAGAGCGCCCTAGGGTTCATCCTGTGCTCAGCACTTTAACTGAGTCTCCACTATACCGTGTGACCATCATAGACCTGTCTGAATGGCTCATCTCTTATCAGCATAACCAGCAGGTCTTGGGCCAAATTGGTAGGAATTATATTCCTGGATGTGTTTAAGATTGGGAACAAGAAGCACCGACACTTTTCTGTAGAATGGAACCTTAAAAAGAAACAGATGATGTCAATAAAGACAAATTGGCCCATCGGAAACTAGGTCTTTTTTCCCCTTTAGATGGTGTATATCTAGAGTTAGTTTTAAAAATTTGCTTTTAAATTTAGAAATTACAGCTAGTTCCTCAGTTAGAAACAGATGCTCTTACTGAGAACCCTAGTTTCATCTCCAGCACCCATGTCAGGCAGTTCACAACCACCTGGAACTCCAGATCCTGGAATCTGACACTCTCTTCTGAATTCCTTAGGTATATGCATCCAAATGTACATATTCATTCTCTCTCTCTCTCTCTCTCTCTCTCTCTCTCTCTCTCTCTCTCAGAGCGAATTAAAAATAAATAAGAGTTACAATTAAATAACATTAAATATTCTAGGACAAAGAAAATGTGAAATAAATCTTTGAGTTTGTGGTAAAGTGAATTTGTAGAACACCTAAACCTATGTTTGGGCTTGCAGCTCACAAAAAGCCCCTGACTTTCTTTTCTCCGTCAGAGAAGTTCATTAACATTAAAACAGCAAACCTCCCATGTATAGTGAGGGTAGTGAACTTTAATATGATAACCAAGGTCCCAGAGAGAGCTCAGTTTGTGCCCAATAGCAAGGTCCTAGGAAGGAACAGTGGCAATGTGGAGGTTTCCAGTACACCTGGCATCATAAGGATTCTAGACATGCTTCTGGGTCTATAAAGGCTGGGTTTTCACCTCCTTCCTGGAGACCCCCTTCATTCCTTCTTAAGACTCCTCTTCCACCTCCGGCTGTGGAGGCCCAGAACTGGTTTGTGACTGGTCCAAATGTAACAGTTGAGAAAGCATGGCTATAAAATGAACTGTGTCCCTCCGTTTCCTGTTTCATTCCTCTCTCCCTGTCGCTAAGACCAGGGTGCCTATCTCTACCCCAGAGCTCATGTTTAACATATAAAGTACACTTTGCAAATGTCCTGCATGTTCTAATTTGGATGATGGGAGGAGAAAAACAACTCCTCTGAGCACCAATTTAACCCCAGCGGTCCCTGGGAACCAGCCCCTCCCCACTCCTTCCTTTGCTAGCCAGATCCTTTGCTAGCTCCAGTGTTTGCATTAATCAGCTGCATAGGCTCAGAGACTGTGTGTTTTGGTGTTGTTTGTGTGTGCAATCTCGTGCTGCTTCCTGAACGCATGTGTCCCTTCCCTTCACAGCCTACTCGACACCCAGCACCTCCCCCGCAAACCGATTCGTCAGTGTTGGACCACGGGATCCAAGCTTTGTAAATATCCCTCAACAGACACAGGTGGGCCGCTCTCATCTTTTCTGTATGTGGTGCAGCTTGTTTTATTCATCAGGTGCAGTTTAATGTGTCTTGGGGCACACCAAGTGACATGCCCCAGCCCTTCTTCAGTTCCTTTCCTCCTGACCCCATCCCTCCTCCAAGCCCTGTAGCCATGTTTTCTCTGTTCTCGGGAACCATAGACAGTGTTCCTGGGATCTTTGCTTATGGTATTGGGGTTGGGGGGGGGGGGGGACTTCTGGGCCAGACTGCTTTTGCCATGGCAAGTTAAGGTTGCTAGGCTAGACTGTGTGTATTCCCTCCTTGAGGCCGCCATGGCTCTCTAGCTATAAGCAGACAGACGTGCGCCCCATGGAACCTGGTTTCCATGGTATCCAAGCACATGTGGGGAGGGAGACCAGCCACTCCTCTCATTTTATGGCCCCAGGAAACTGGCAAACTTTCTAAAAGAAAGAGGGGGTGAGGACAAAGGGTTTCTAAGCTCTTTATTAAGTTACTGATGTTGGTTCCAAGGAGGTGATTGCTGACCGCTGGGAAGCAAGGTGCTCTGAGTGGGAGGGGTTAAGCAGAAAGTCATATCGAAGTGGCTATTTGAAAGTAGAGCGCAGAGCTGGCTGAGCACAAGAGAAAGTTGTGTTTGGGTTCGTGTAGGCTAAGAAGAGCTCTTTTACGACAGGTTTGAAGTGACTGCTGTAAGTCGAGAAGCGGCAAACCTCTGGGTTCCAAGATTTATGTGTAGAGGCTTGTTGAAATAGAATCAGGTCCTAGTTTGTAGAATAAACTACTCCTCCATTTCCTAACTAGAATATGACCATGTACTTTCCTAATTGACTCTAAGAAGTTACTGTGTCCGTGAGCTTCTTAGCATGGTTTGAAATTTCCTCCCTGTGGTTCTGGGCATATGCTCAGCTGTTTGGCGTCAGCTGCCTAGTTTATTAGTACAGTTGGGTGCTTCCTGAGTCATACAGGGTCTGCCTTACTGTACTTATCCACAGTGCTGCTTCGCCCTCCTCCCTACCCTGAAACAGCACCCCAGAAAGTCCAGCACTAAGTCAGAAACAGGGGACCTGAGAAGAGGGACCTCTTTCCTCTTGTATCTCCCACTTCTAAATATTTCTTCTAAATCTGGCTTGCACAGTGGTGTCTGAGATTAAAAGACCTACTCGGTAAATTCTCATAAAAATTCTCCCACTTAATTTGCTTATTTTCCCACACCTCAAATATTCAAATACTTTACTGGTGGTTTGAAATTGTACCATTGTCTGAGAATATCCATCTTAGAAGATGGTTTGGCTTTGTGCTTTGGATTTCTGTGTTCTGGCTCAGGGAAGGGTGAGCCAGCAGGGCTCCCCCCAGCTCTATTGGATGGTTATTTTGTGGTTTTCAAATTTTGGGCATACTCAGTTTGATTCACTGAGAACCTGAAAACTGCAACTTTGAAGTATCTTGTTTGTATTTTGCATGATAGTTTATTCAAGCCAATTCACATCATCTAAACTGTACATGTTCCATTTGATTTATCTCTCTATAATGAAAATGTGTTTTTTTCCAGTATTACTTTGTTTCATAAGTGCCTTGTTTAACCCAAAGACTGAGTCTACATGATGTTGACCACAAAGCTTCAATTCTTAACAATCCAGATTTTGCACGCATCTGGATAAATGATGTCATGTAGGTCCAGTATTGGCTTCTAGAACTGAATTCTTTTTGTTTTCCATTAAATATTTGGCATTGTGGGGACAATAGCTAAATGTTTCTTACCAAAGTCACACCTGTCACATTTGGCTTGAAGAAAACCATTTCTAATTATCTCATGAGAAACCATAAGAGTGGAATTATCTTTTTCCACCCTTTATGTAGCTATCTAGTCTTATGATTTAAAAATAAAATTTATGTGCTGCAAATATTTCTATTTCTTGATATATATTAACATTTTAAGAATAAACTGTTCAAAGTTAGTATTAGGTGTAGATGGTAAGTAACAATAGACCTTAAATACAGCTCCCTTGTAAGAAGTGATTAATTGAAAGTTATTTTCTTACAGGGTGTGTGTGTGTGTGTGTGTGTGTGTGTGTGTGTGTGTGTGTGTCTTAGTTAAGGTTTTATTTCTGTGAAAAAACATAACCACAGCAACTCTTATAAAGAAAAGCATTTCATTGGGCCTGGGTTACAGTTTAAGAGGTTTAATCCATTATCATCGTAGTGGGACATGGTGGCATGCAGACAGATATGGTGTTGGAGAGGTAGCTGAGAGTTCTACATCTTGATCTGCAGGAAACATAAGGAGTTTGTGTGCCATACTGGCTGTAACTTGAGCACAGGAGACCTCAAAGCCTGCCCCCACAGTGACACACTTCCTCCAACAGGACCACACCCACTCCAACAAGGCCACACCTCTTAATAGTGTCACTCCCTATGGGCCAAGCATTCCAGCACAGTCTATGGGGCCATACCTAATCAAACCATCACTCTGTGTGTGTGTGTGTGTGTGTGTGTGTGTGTGTGTGTGTGTGTGTGTGTTGTACAGGTGATTACCTCACAGATCCTAGGCTCTACCATGTGATCCCAAGCCTTGTTTTGACTTTTCAAAATCTTATACGATTTTTTTTTTTATGCAAAAGCAAAGAATCTTTTACTACAGTTGTTTAACGAGCTAACCCTATTAGCTCGGGCCCTTCATCCATCCACCACACTGATGGCTGGAGAAAAGACCCCTAGAAACCACAAGGCAGGGACCTTATAGGGCAGCATAAGGGGAGTGCCTAGGGGTACACAACAGTCTCAGGACTGGTGCACTTCAAGCTTGGACGATGTTCCCTGTATTGATTGATCAACTGGTTGTTATGGCCCATAGGCTTTCCCAGGGCGGTTGCTATGCCCTGCACATCACTGTTGTGCACTTGTCCATAAAGCACACCCAGAGTCGTAAAGCATAGCCATGCTAGCTTATTTCTGATTGGTTCCTTGCCTCGAGGCAGGCATTTGACCTCCTAGTGACCAGCACAGGTGGGGCAAGGTCAGGCAAACACATGTTAGAATGTCATGGCTGCTAAAAAGTGAGGCTGGTCCCTTCATTTCCCCCCTTCTCGAAGGTGATATGACTCAATCCTGCGCTTGTAAGATTTTTAACAATATCAGTCAGACACCCATAGATTCTTCACTTCCTAAGCAAATGTGTGGTTGTCATTAGACAGCTTAAAAATTGGTATTAGTTGGAATGTAGGAAAAATTTCCAAGGCAATCAGAAGTTTGCTCTCTGAACCAGTAAAGTTGGAACTACTCAGACAAATGTTTGACTTGTCTCTGCCTTTGCATGAGTAAAAGTTGGAGTCATCCAGACAGATATTTGATGTAATGCAGAAGCACCAGGAACGGTAGCCCATACCTGTAATCCAGCACTTGGGAGGCTGAGGCAGGAAGATTGAAGGATCCAGACCAGCCCAGGGTGAATGATTCCTAGAACAAAACAGAAGAATCCAGCACTAAATTCATAAACAGATATGAGATGAAAAGGTCCTTCTAATGGTTTTGCTCACAGCAATATTAGTGATATAGCATGTACATTTTACATTTCCTTTGTAACTTCATCTGAATATTAAAGCAATAATTTCTCACATTTCTCATGTCCTCACCAAAATTCAGAGAAGCTTTCAACATTCTTTAAACTTACTGTGAGATTTACAACTATTATAGTTATTTAAGGAATATACTCATCTTTTAGGAATAATGTTATCTACCAAATTAAAACTATTGTTGTAAAAAAAGAGAAAAGGTCCTTCTTTCCCCCCCAAACCCAGTTCCTGGTAGAAATCTTTTGGCATTCCTTATGCTATCCTACTATTTGCTGATTTCCCCATACCTTCATATTCAGAGATTTTTCTGGTGAGTTTGAAAGTTGCATAACTGCTTTGAAAACATCTATCTTAAAATACAGTTTTTACGCATACAATGGAATAGTTGTCACTGTTAAAAATTAAGGGCATCCTGATGCTTGCCACAATAGGGATGAATCTAGAAAACATTATGTTATGTTGCAGAAGCCCATCACCAAAAGATAAAATCTATTTTTAAATGGTGGCTTTATCTTATTCAGCCATGGTGCATGTTAATTGTGGGAAATACAGATGAGAAAAAATAATAAAAATCACTAGTAGTCCTACTGTTAATGTTTCTATATAAATCCATACTGGCTGTTTCTACACATTCCAGTATATTGCAAAAATAAGGTTGGATTACATCCACTCTTTAGTAACCTGCAGTTTCTTCCGAGTAACAATGTATTATGACCTTCTTTCCATGTAAATTGGAAAAATTGAGTATTGGCTTTTATTACACCTATTCATCATCAGAGGTTATTGGTAGGGAATGATAGCATGGATAATTGAAAGCTGTTGTTCCCCCTCCTTCCCTGCCAGTCTGTATTTTCTCCGGAGAGTCCTCGAACCATTGAGGGATATATGCATCCCTCTTACACTGATGGGAGCCCGTTTCGATTCACACTCCATCCAGTTGCCCAGTACATCAAGCCCTGACTTCTGGCTCTGGCTGGACGTTCTGCCACGTGACCTGTCCTCTTCTTCCACTAGGCTCCCCTCCTTGCTTCCTCTGCTCCTGTAATCTGGCCCTCACCTTACTCCTCCATACATTGTAGCTGTTCTCACCAGGAGATGTGGCCAGCTCCCTGTGGCCTATGGAAAGCCTACCTGTTATGAGAAACTGTATCCCCACATCACCCCAGAGTCTTCCTTTTCAGTATCTCCCCATGATGGTTGATGCTAACTCATGGAAAATCCCTGAGTATTTTCTGTCTTTGTTGTGATGGGCCCCACTCAGCACTGAATGAAACAGGCCCTGCCAGTCTTCAGATAGGAAGCTGGAAAGCTGGGGATCATTGTAACTGCACCCCCTGATCTCATCTGACCTCTAAACACAAGAACCATTATGAACAGGCATTTACTGGGGGCTGGGCGGGGAGAGAGTTCACATTTCACAACCAGTAAATA